TCTCTCTCTCTCTCTCTCTCTCTCTTTCTCTCCCGCCACTCCCATCTCTCTCCCCCTGCTTTATTTTTTCTTCAGAGCACTTATCACCATTCTATGTACTTGTTATTTGATTTGTTTATATGTTTGTCCACCTGAACAAGAAAGTAAACTCCTTGAAGGAAAGGCTTTTTGTCAGTTTTGTTCCCCTACTTTATTTCTGTAATCTAGAAAAGTACCTGGCACAAAGTAGGTGCTTGATAAATATGGCCAGGTCTTGGGTTTCCTTAAGAAGAGTGAGCATGATCTGTGTGGTGAGAAGACGAGATATGACCTTAGTCATTGAATCCACCTTCATTTTCTTTCTATCCTTAGAGGATTTGCAGGACACCACAAAATGACTCACGCCTTTCGACTAAGCAGGCTAACTATACGTTCAACCAGCAAGAAACTAGTGTCTGTGTCCTGCTGCCCTCTGGGGCTCTCCATAAGGTCAAGAAAATCAAGGAAGTGGCAAACATAAACTGTTTTTCTCTTTCACTCTATTTTCCTCTTTATTGCCTGGACTTTGAAGTTCAATGTCATGTAAACATTAACTTACTCTTTAAACAAAACCAAAAAGAGCAAGCTGTGTGTAAAAAAAAAAAAAATTAAATAGAAAAGATATAGAAAACATTTTTAAAAGAGTTTGGAAATTAGACAATAAAAATCATGCTTAAAGAACAGGATCAAGGATCAACAATTATACAATCAAAATGGGCTTGAAATCCAACCAATCTAAGTTCAAATCTTACCTCTACCATTTCCTAACTTTGTGATTTTACACAAGTTACTTTGCTTCTCAGAATCTAATTTTTTAATTCTAAATTGGGGTTCTTTTTGAGGATTAAATGAGATAACGAATAGTGCCACTGTGCCAGAACTTGGCTTATTTTGTTTGTTTTCTGTTTCCTCTCTTCAATTGGCTTTCTATTGAAATTAGTTTGTCAGCATTTTCTTCTTTCTTTCTTTCTTTCTTTCTTTCTTTCTTTCTTTCTTTCTTTCTTTCTTTTTGAATCCTTTTTTTTAAATTAGTTTCAGGTGTACAAAACAATGTAATAGTTAGACATTTATACCCCTCACAAAGTGATAACCCTCCCACCCCCAATCTACTACCCCTCTGACATCATACATAGCTGTTACAATTCCATTGACTCTACTCCCTATGCTGTATGTACTCCACATCCTGTGACTATATATATATTAAATTATAGTTGACATTCAGTATAATTCAGCTTCAGCTTCTTACTGAGCTTTAGAAAAACAAAAATCTTGCCAACAATACCGCCTTTTATACCTTTGTGGACCTTAGAATAGTGTGGCAAGCAGGTGAGAAAAGTCTCTATCATGTAATATTAATATTTAATTAACATACTATAAAAATGATCCCTGACTTTGCTAACAATTGTCACCCGAATAGACTTTAATTAAAAAAAAAAAAACACATACAAATATATTTAATTAAGTAGCAAGCCCGTCAGCAGTTTTAGTCTTAGGAGTATAGACTTTTCTTCTCTGCTTCATGAGCATTCATAGAAACACCAATGACACCACTTAGCAAATTGTTAAAATTACATTGAATAAAATGTATCATACCATGTTGACGTAATTGGCCATCTCAAATACCCTCTTTCTTATTTCCTCTGGATCTTGATTGTATTTTTTAAACTAAAAAATGACCAAGACAAAATATGGGCATTGGTAAAAATGAATATAATAGGAAGTAAAATGGCAACTTCATTGTATTTTACCTACTAGTGGTTATAATGTATAACCACTTATAAAAGTTAACTCTTAGAAGTGAGAAACAAAGTGCTTTCTATTTTTCTGGCTAAATTAAAGCATTTTTGGGGTAGAGATGCTGTTTTGTCCCCTGAAGTACTAACTCAGTGTAAAGCTCTAAGGAATTATCCTAAACGTATTTTCAGTAAAATACCATGATTTCCTAAGCTGTGCAGAATAGATATAACAAATAGCTTTTCCATTTAAAAATATACCAACAGCAAATAAACTTAATATAATAAGAGAGGCCAAAGCTTTAGGGCCTAAACTAAATAACTTACACACATTATCATAGCACTGAATTTTTTCTTTGGAGATCACAGATGTGGACTTCAGGTTTAGAACACTCACTAGGTTAAAATGCATTTCTATAAAAGATAAATGATGACTATTACCAAAAACTTGCCTTTTTCATAAGATTTTATTCCTGAGATTTCTATATTTACCACTCCATGACAAGCATAAATTCTAATTTTCCAATGATTTAACTACATAACATAAGGCAAAATGACAAAAGAATTTAATTGGATATTAAGTGTGTAGCTCTTAAGACAATAAGAAAGGAGCATTATAGTGCAAAGAATTCACTTTATACATATCATATAAGATGCACAGTCCTGAAAATGAGAAATCATATCAGTCTAATTAGATGTTAATTTTCTTAGATTCAGAACAATTTGTAAAAAAGAATAGCTCATATTTGTGAATTTTCCAAACTGATCCACATATTTCATATTTCACATGATAAATTTAGGTAGAAGAGGATTTTAAAAGACACATTTATTTGATATAATTACCTCACCATTATCCAGGACCAAATAATATTCTATGTATTTCTTCTGTCCCAAAGCCTTCTGGGTTTTTGATTTCTGTAATAAATATTAAAAGAAAAATTACTAAGATGACATCTTTCTCTACATGAGTCATTCTTTTATTTAAATATGTAATTTTATAAGAGATTGGTTGATATCTATAAAAAAAGACAATATTATCATTGTAAAATTTAATTAGCCAGAATCATCTATAGATAAGGTTCAGAGTAGAATCTCAGCACTAAGAGACCTCAGTACTATACTCGTCTGTCCCCTTTATTTTACCAAACAGTTTAAATGATTACACAACTAATTAATAGGTATGCAGGGATTAGAACCCAAGTCTTCAGAATTTTTAAACAGTGGACTTTTTCCACTATCCTGAAATGAAATAGACAAACTTGGACTTCAGCATCCTCTTAGTGTTTTTTGTTTATTTGTTTGTTTGTTTGTTTGTTTACTATCCTTTTATTCCTATCCCAGTGAATACCCCACTATTGGTGAAATGCCCAGAGCTGCCATGGAACCTAATCTGTTTTCTTCTTCTCAAACAGAACTAGATCTCTTTCCTACATTCCAGGCTCCCCTATTTTCTGTTCCTTTCTCTTACAAAACAAAATAAAACAACAACAACAAAAATAGGTTTCAGGGCTGGCCTAGTGGAGCGCTGGGTAGGAATTGGCTTGGGATGCCAGCTCTGAGCAGCAGAGCCCCAGTTCGGATCCCACATTAGGGCCAATGATGCTGCGCCCTCTACAGCTAAGATGGTGAACAACAGCTCGACCTGGAGCTGGGCTGCTGTGAGTCGCCGGTGATAGCGTAGGCTGCAGTGAAGCTACAGTGCGCTGCCATAAGCTAGGGTGAGTGGCCGGCAGCCAGCGTGAGCTGCCAAGAGCCACCATGAGCAGCCGTCCCGTGACCAGCGACCAATCTGCCTCAGCCAGGAAGAGCGCAATGATAATACAACATGGGCCAGTGAAGCGACGTCCTTCACAACTAGACTGAAGAACAAAAGGACAGCAACATGTCTGTTCCCCTTCCCTGATTCCCCAATAAAATCTTAAAAAAAAAAAAAAACAGGTTTCATAGTGGATTCTCCCATTGAAAAGTAGCAGACACATTATTTGTGCTAAATAATAAACCATCAAAATTTATTATGTTGCATTTCTAGAAGTGCTTATCTTTTAGAAGGTAAATAAGCTTCTGTTAACAAGCACAGATTACTAACGGTAGACTTGTAGGTGCTATCTGATGAGATGTGTACTTACCTCCACTCTCCATGGGAGCAACATATTATCAGCCCTTACTGTGCACCAGCAGTGCTCTGGGCCCCAGGGATACAGTAGGGAAATAGACATGGTCTATGTGCTTCAGGAGCTCACAGTAGACAAATAAACGTAGATACATCAGATGGCAATTAGTGCCATGCAGTGGTTTAAATGGAGTAATGTGATATTGAGTGACAAGGTAGCCATTTCAGAACAGGTTAGGGAAAGCTCTATAAAGAGTTGGTCCTGAAGCTGACACATTTATGAAAATGAGACGCCAGGCAAGGGAAGGTTAACTGGAAGATAATGCCAGCAAAGAAAGAAAAAATGAGCAGAAAGACTCTAAGGTGAATTGATATTGGCATGTTTAAAGCACAGAAAAAGTTTGTGTTTGTCAGAACATAACAAGGGAGGTCCGCGGGTGGGGAGCAGAAGATAGGAGGGGGTTAGAGAGATATGTGGGGCCCTTATCATATAGGGGTGTGTCACTCAGGGTCAGTGTTTTGTTTTTGTTTCTTTAAGATTTTGTACTAAACGCAATGAGAAGCCATTAGAGCGCTTTAAACAGAAAAGTGACGTTATGTGATTTAGAATAAAAGAATCACTCTGGCTATTGTCTGGAGACAATGTGCTACTGAGGCAGGAATGACAGTGGGAAAGTAAGGTCGAGGCTGCTGCCATGGTTACTGTGGGATGGATGGTACCCGTGACAGGTGAGGAAAGGAGCACATTGAAATATCTGGAATATATGCAGGCATTTGCTGACAAATGCCATATGAGAAGAGACGAAGGAAAGAGGAATCAAGGATAATTTCTAGATTTGGGCCTGAGAAATGAGGATTGGTGGTATTGCTAACTGAGATAGGGGAGAATGAGGGAGAAGCAAGTTTTGTTTAGGGTTTAGAAATCGGTAGTTCTATTTTGACCACATTAAGTTCGTAATATTAGACATACAAATAGATGCATGAAGTAGGTAGCTAATTATAACAGCCTGGCCTTTAGAGGAGAGCCCAAGGTTGGAGATAGACATTCGATCATAATTAGTGCAGCGTTCCTATTCAAATACAGCATAGTACAAGATGAGGTTACCTAGGAAGAATCTGAAGATAAAGCAAAGCACAGAACCCAGGACTGAGCTTTTGAGGGCCTCTGGTCAACCAGAGGAGGAATAACAATGAGAGGAACTGGTGAGGTAGGAGGAAAACCAAAACAATAGGCTGTCATGGAAGCACAGCTATTTGTACATGGTTAGCAAGGAATTGAGACAGAGAGATAAGAGGCCTGTACCAGGAGATGGACATTCGTGGGAACACATAGCTAGAAGTGGTTCTTCTGGGTTCTTAGATATCAAATCACTGGTAGAATTTATACCCACAGCAAATTGAACCTAACAGAAATTTTATTTTATCCAGACCAATTCTGCCCAGTACTTATGGATTCTAAGAACATTTGGAAGAAATGATACTTCTGTAACTGGAAGTTTAATTCCATATATGAAAGAATATTCTAGGTTCCTGTGGGCAGATTCTGTATTTATTTTGCTTTACTGCTACATCCCCAGCACCTATGACAGTCTTTAAAAATTTGTTGAATGAATTCATTCATGAACATAGCAGGATATTGCATCTCAAAGTAATAATAATACCTTACACCTTTGTTAATATTGTAGCATTGTACAAGTTGCCTGCTCCTAGAGGGCAAGCCTTATACTTCTTTTTAGCCCTTGCATGTTATTGTTCATAATAGTTGATCCATAAGTACTTATTAAATAAATAGACGTACAACAAGATTTTAGTGTCTCTATCACCTACTAGTTTCAACAATGGCTGTAAAATTTCATTCAATTGCAGCTAGTAAGACTGGAACCTAAGTCCGCCAGGACAGGATATATGGCAGTGTTGCAAATGAAAAATAAAGGTATGCGTACGACCACACTTGTGTCAGGTGGGGCCATATTCCGCCAAGATCCATGTGCCCATAGCACGTCATCCATCCCACAGCTGCTGTTAGTCTTTTCGTTGGGATCATGCTTGAAGAGCACATGTTCCTGCTCATCCTGATTTGTGGGGCTCAAAGGTTCAATGAAGTACCTTTCATCTCCCTGACTGAAGTAGCCCCTGAAAAACATGAGAATCCAGGCTTCTTAAAAAAATATTCCTGCATTTGAGTGCTACAGACTTAGAGAAGCTAAACAGTTACCAATGCCAAAACATTCCATGCTCATGGCAGTGGAAAACAGTGTGACATTACAGCTGAAGATCCCCTTAGAGATGACCTGAGCTTATTTTCTCTAGGAAGAAATGGGACCTGTCGGGGAGAAGTGACTACTACAATGTCATATAGATAACCTAGGTCAGAGCTGGCAGTAGAATGAAATTTCCTGACTCTCGATCCACTGTTCTTCCAATCCCCATGCCTTGTCTGCTCTACAGGTGTACTGAAAATGAAAGAGATTTGCGAGTCTTACAGATAAGGGTTAAAATTCTGGGTCTATCACTTAATAGCTGTGATAACATGGACAACTACTTAAACTCACATAGCCTCAGTTTCTCTATCTGTAAATGGGGGTAATAATACCTACCTAATAGGATGGTTGTAAAGGTTGAAGGAGATAATATATAAAGCACATGATCAATAAATAATATCAATTTCATCTCACTTCCCTTTGCTGAAGCCTCGAGCTGAGCTAAGATTCATTCAACCAATAGTTAGAGAGTACCCATTATTTGTTAGGCATTGGAATAAAGGCAGATGGTAAAAAAGAAAAGTCATGGTCTCTCATAGAGCTTACATTCAAATGAGGAAGACAGATGTGGATTAAATAATCACATTTGCTCCACTACATTTGTGAATGTCTATATAGATATAGATATAGATATTCACATATGCACATACACATTTACATATATGTAATATATATAGTTACAGCAGATAATTGCTAAGAAGAAACAGCACAAGGACATATAATAGGGAGACTGGATTAAATATTCATAGAATTAGAAGACAAGAGTGAAGGAGAGGAGATAAATTAGATGATTTATTGCAATGGTCTGCATAAAGATCATGGTAATTTGGACTAGGATGTGGCAATAAGAGAGAGGATATCGTGCATAATCTCAGGAAACATTTAGAACATACAATCAATAAGGCTTGATAATGGATTGACAATGGGTAGTTGAGAGGCAAAGGTCATAAGAAACCTAGGTTTCTGGATTGGCAAGCGGTTGGTTGATGATGCTACTCATTGAGATAGGGGACCCTGGAAAATACCAGATTTTGGAGAAAATTATTAGTTTGATTGGAGGTATATTAAGATTCAGATTTCATTAAGGTATCTAAATATGGAAGATATGGAGATATGTACAAGAAAATTAGATATCCATGGCTGGGTCTCAGAAGATATCTTACTATAGACAGGTATATGAAGAATCTTTAACATACAGAAAGAAGTGGCTATCACAGGTGTGGATAGGACAGCTAGAGATTTTAGAGTGAAGAGAGAAGGTGGAGAGGAGCTCCCATTCTCTAAAGATTCTGACTTTAAAATTGGGACTCAAAACAAGCAAGCAAACAAACAAAAGCAACTCTATAAGCAATTCAGATGTATAATTGATAAATTAGTATCAACAGAACTCATGTTTCCTTCAATTTTCAAAATTTTTGAGCCCTTACAATTAATCTAACTGTACTAAAGTTAATTAATTATATGCAATGTTCTTCAGATTTATTAAAGCACACACACATTATCATCATCATCATCATCATCATCATCATCATCACAGGAACATACAAATCATTCAGGAAGTCTTACCTTAGACCCCTACATGTGCTGATACTAGCTTCAGAAACTTTTTCATTAATGATATGTCCTTGGTAATAACAGTGATCCTAAAGAAATAGAAAAGGGGTTTTATAAAGAAAAGCATGCATGTTTTTCAGACCCCTTGCAAAATTTAAATTTGAAACCTTAAAACAGCATTTGTAATGTTTTTAAATGACTTTATGCTAAATAACAGTAAACTTGGAGATATGAAAAAAAAATTGTTTTTTATAGTTAAAATCTGTATTATTTAGCTAATGATCTCAAATGCTTAGAGAGTGTTAACTAAATTGTGTAAATGTTGGTGTTGCAGAAGAAGGATAACAGGGTGTATACAGCCTGGAAAAAACAAACTTGCAAATGTATGTTTAAAACCTGAGATCCCAAAACATCAGACGTTCATTCTTTTCCTTGATTGACTACTCATTATTTTTTTTCTAACACCACTGGGTGCTTTCCAATGAATGTGTTATTCAGATTGTATTGTTATTTCTTAATATATCCAGTCTCACCAGACTAACTGGATTAGTATAGCATCCCCTGCCTCCATTTGGACAAAAATGCCCAATCCTAACCTTTTTCATGTGGGTGTACTTCAATCAAGCACATGTTTCTCCTTTGGGACAGTTGACCTATTGGCCCATGTAAACCTCTGTGTCATTGCTACAGAAGAGAATGCGTGAAGGCCTTCCAATAGAAAACAGAGCTCAGAAAAGATGGCAATGATAAAACACCACTCTTGTTACCTCACGTTGTCATCTTCTCTGAATAAGTGTCAAGAGTGGAAATTATTTAAAGAAAACAGAATTCTACAATTCTACCATTGAAGAAATGGTCTTGAGATTGAGAGACTGTATGATCTAAAGATTGACTAAGAACATCAGGTGTATTTAATTTTTCACTTTTCTAATGAAAGGAAGAGGCTCCTTCGGCCCACTCTCCTACAGGGAGCTGTTGAAGGCTGGAAAGGGTGACCGTGATTGTCAAGGAATGGCTTTGTTCTTGCCAAACTGTACAAATGATGGAAGATCAGTTAAGAAATGACTACTACTGAATAAAGCACCAATGCTATAAATGCTATTTCCCTTTCACAATTGTCTGGCAACGACACTGCATTTGACTGTGCGAGTCATACCCCAATACACAATGAATCAGAACACTGTGTTTTACCATGATCTGGGGGCTAGTGGTGACTTCCTTTCCGGTGGAATTATAATGTGTTTCCGTGTAGCCTGGTGCAAGGAGATCTCTGGAGGAGGGGGGAAAAAAAAAGAAAAGTCATGGTTACGCACGCTAATTGCAAAGTCCAGCAACCAAAGTGAGAGCTTTCACTGGGTGTGCAGAAAAGTTTTCACTCCTAAGATCCTCCTCCTAACCCCTCTAAACAAGTCCAAGCATGAAAGGGATGCTGAAAATGGAAAGACTGAGAGGGACAAGGACATTCCTGATGAATGCGGAACAATGTCTGCTTTTTCATCAGTCTTTGCAGACTTGTCTGAGGAGAGTTTTGAGAATTAATTGGAACTGAGAAGGGTCAAGTTGATAAAAATTACCAAAAAGAGTACTGTTCCTCACCAGTTTAGGATAACTGCATTTCCATGGGGCCCTTTCAGTCCCAATGGCTATTAACAACTTTAGCAGTGAAGAGTTTAGTGAAAATTGACTTGCATTTGGTCATTAACAATTTCACGGAGCTTCTTAAAATTCTTTCAGTTATTCATCAGAAAATAGGAGCCTGAATATATGTTGAAAAGAATCAGGGCAAAGAGAAAGGAAAGTGACTAATATGTATTAAACGCTATCTCTGCATAGGCCACTGGGTTAGACATGTTACATGAATCATTTAGTACAACCTCTTCAACAATCCTGCAAGGTAAATATTACTCTCCTTATTTTCCAGATGAGATTAAACAGTTCGAGTGGCATGGGATCATATCTAGGTCTGCCTCAAACCCAAAGTGTGTTATTATTTCTATTACAGCACCACTGTTTCCAAACTCTAGTCAGCTGTGTTTTTTTTGCAAAAGGTGATAGTCTATTTGTCTATCTTGCTGTTCTTTATAGAACAACTTAGGGATTGAAAACGCTTCAAAGCATAGAATTGGGAAAAACTGCTTTTGAAGTGGTCTAGATATAGGATGGTCAAGATCTGGGTGAGAGCTGAGGCCCCAAAATTTGAAAAGAGATGCTGAATTTCAATGAACACGATGAAGCCTATGAAGGAATAAGAGCACAATGAGATGTAAGAGAAAAATGGACAGGTTAGTGGACAGCTGGGCAGAAAAGGCACTGGTGTTAGAATCAAGGGAGCCCAGCTCGGCTTTTACCACTGACTTGCTCCTTGGCCGTACGGTGTATTTAACTTAGATATGTCTCTTGTTTTTTTTTTAACGAAAATGGTTGCAAATTGTTTTAATATCTAATCTTTCCTTTTTTTCAATTACAGTTAACATTCAATATTATTTGCTATTAGTGTCAGGTGTACAGCATAGTGGTTGGACATTTACATAATTTATGAAGTGATCCCCCCATTAAGTCTCGTACCCACTTGGCACCATAGCTATTAAAATATTATTGACTATATTCCCTATGCTGTACTTTACATCCCCAAGACTATTTTGTAACTGCCAGTTTGTACTTCTTAATCCCTTCATCTTTTTCACCCAGCCATCCTGCTCCTGTCTCCTCTGGCAACCATCAGTTTGTTCCCCGTATGTATGAGTTTGTTTCTGTTTTGTTTGTTTTGTTGTTTAGATTCCACATATAAGTGAGACCATATAGTGTTTGTTTTTCTCAGTCTGACTATCTCACTTAGCATAAGAACCTCTAGGTCCATCCATGTTGTAGAAAATAATAATATTTTATTCTTTTTATGGCCAAGTACAATATTATTCCATTGTATATACTCTATGTTCTACATCTTCTTTATACAATCACCTATTGATGGGCATTTTGGTTGTTTTCATACCTTGGCTATTATGAATAATATTGTAGTAAACATAGGGGTGCATATATCTTTCTGAATTAGCATCTTGGATTTCTTTGGATAAATACCCAAAAGTGGAATTGCTGGGTCATAAGGTAGTTCTATTTTTAATTTTTTGAGGAACCTCCATACTGTTTTCCACAGTGGCTGCACCAATTTTCAATCCCACCAATAGTGCACGAGGGTTCCCTTTTCTCCACATCCTCAACAACATTTGTTTATTGATTTATTGATGATAGCCATTCTGACAGGAGTGAGGTGGTATCTCACTATGGTTTTTATTTGCGTTTCTCTAATGATTAGTGATGTTCAGCATCTTTTCATATGTCTATTGGCCATTGTATGTCTCTTTAGAGAAATGTCTCTTCATATTCTCTGCCCATTTTTAAATTGGATTGTTTGTGTTTTTCGGTGTTGAGGATTATCTATCTAATCATTCACTGTTAGAATAATAAAATGCAATAATGTAGGGGAAGAGTGAAAAACCCATCTGCAATTTCATAGAACTTGATAAAATGTATGTCTGCCTGCACATCATTCATTGCTTTATTACTAGAAGTATCAAAACACTGGTAAACTTGTTTTATTCAATGTGTTTCTACTGCTTAAGTAGGAAGAAATATTCACCGAACCCCTCAGGCCAGTTGAGAGCAAAAGCTGATTAGCCAAAGTTTGTGAGAACCATAAGCAGTAACAGACTCAATTAGCACACTTTCCACATGCTAACTTGCTGTTGGTGAGGATTATATCAGAACTAAGACACTTACTTGGATTTTTTCAAATAAAGCACTGCTATTTTTCCATTAACTGTCATTTCATACTTCAATTCAGTTCCAAATTTTTCCTGTAAAAAGGCACAAATATTTGCTGGTGATTAAACACACACACACACATATTCATTTGGCTAGGTCCCTCTGGTGCCTCGGTTTCTGGTCCAGCAAAAGGCACAGTTCTTTAACAATAATGACAAGAGTCCTTTTCTTCAGGAGGTCTTGAGAAATAAATAATCTAGACTGAGACCTGTGTAGCATCGATGGATACAGAGATTCCCTCAGTCACACGCAGTATGAATTCTGGATGTTTTGAGTCATTGCTAATCAATTCTTCACACAAGGAAGACCAATAGCATCAATACAAAAACCACAAGAATAATTTTCAAGACCTTGGCATATACTGATAAGATAGTGTGCTTATTAATCATAAGATGTACCTGAGCAAGAAGAGAAGATTCTATGTCCAGGGAAAGAATGTGCCTGCTGCACAGCAGACGAGGATGTCACTGGCTTCTCTAGTCTATGCTTGGAAGACAAGTGTGATGTGGCAGCACTGTTATCCTGACAGGGCAGGACTGAGATATCAGACATGCAGCAGCATGGGCCTTAAATCTATAGATGGGCCAAGGGCTGGAATCACAGAGAAGCTGCTAGGGCTTAGTTCTACATGTTATTATTTATGTCTTTTTAATCTAGATTTTCCAGGCTCCCTGCAGAAGACTTCCAGGTCTAAATAATTAGAAAACTGTTGTTGAATAAGTCATCATGTTTTAGCTTTCCTCTATTGACTGAGAATGTGCCATTTTATTAAGTAGTAAGAACTATGCAATCTTTAATACCTGCTTTTTTAGGAAAGACAGAGGTAAATTTCACATTTAAATTACAGTAATTAATCTTAATATGCACGTATGCATGCATTCAACCACAATATTTTATTTTCTACTTCAGTTTTAATGTTCATGGTTTTGTTTGTATGTGTGCATGTATAGATAGGTAGATTATAAGCTTATTACACTTCTTTGGGAGTACACAGAATAAACTATAAAATATCATAAAATGTTAAAGTTTACTCTCTGTGTGACCATGGACAGTTTATTTTAACTGTCAGAAACTTAGTCCAAAAAATAAAGGTAATAATAGAATGTTGGGTTATTGTGAAGATTAATAAAGATAACATAGGTCAAAAAACAAATATAAATGTATATATATAAATATAAATATGTATTTATACATTAAATATGTTATATATTTATATCATGTGTGTGTATATATAGTGTGTGTTTCTATATACCTATATATAGACATATGTTATATCTATCTATCTATCTAGATAGATAGGTAGATAGATAGATAGATAGATAGATAGATATTTGAGATTCTTTGTCTTTGTTAAGTCAAAAGATATACCTGTTGATCTGGCTTCTTAACCTCTCTTTTATGTAGTGGGTGAAGTCTTCTGGGATAAACCACTTCATACTTCTTTACTTCAGGGGGTTCCTTTACAGTATTTACTGAGAAAAAAAGAGTAAGAGAAAATTTAGCTGAGCAGAACTCACATAGGCTGGTCAGCGATGGTCATCTTTACTGTATTCCTGGTGAGCGGTGATACACACAGAGTTTTTGAGCTACTTAAGACACCAGAAGAGATTGACAAAATCAGAAATACATTCTTCCTCTCAAATCTTTAACCTATATCTACAAATGTTGTCCCGCTGAAAGTTCACAAGTGTTTCTCAACTTAGTGAAAATATTTCTTTTGAAGTTTTCCACCTCTCTTTGTTATCTTGAAACCCCTGCAAAAGCCAGCATGAGAAAGCCCCGAGCCAAACAGATCCTCTAAGAAGCTAAGCAGTGTCAGAATAATTTAGTTGAAGCACTCTGAAAACTACACAGTGTTAGAAAAGTGAAATAACTAACTAATAAATGCCATTTTGGATTTTAATACAAGTATATTTTTTATGGGTTTTCCAATAGCAATGTTTTCCATTTCCAGAAACTAAGTCATTAAGGAAAGATTTCAATACCAGTTCCATAGAATGAGCCAGCATTGCAATACAGACACACCTTTATTTTTGCATACAACACATGAAACACAATGAAAATTAGAGAAGCATACAATTGGAATACAAGTACTGGCCTAGAAGGAAAATTTTTGATCCTGCAGTGACATTGAAAGAGAATTGGAACGTTATCTAATCCAATTTTCTATCTGCATCTTGAATTCTCATTTCAATGTCTCGTAGTTATTTTTGAGAGAAGTTCAGTTTTTCCAAAGCTGACACTGGACTTTCTATTTTCTTGTTTGTTTGCCCAGATGGTCCAGCCTCTGCTCTGTGCAGAGCGAAGCCTGAGGAAATGTCAACAGACCTGCTCTCTGGCTGCTGAAGGGGCAGCAGGTCCACGTAGAATGAAGATGCAATAGGAACCCAGCGATTTACTAACGCTGTGATTGGAAAGGCTTTAGTTTTCTGTGTAATGACTAGAAGGCTCTTATCTAAAGATAGTCCTAGCTCATTAAAGTACTCAAACTGACATCCTATTGTAATATAAATTTAGGTTAGCATGGCTAATCCTTTAACAAATAAAATGGAATATTTTTTGTGACTCCTCTCGGATGACTGTGCACTTATCCCAATATACCCCAATGAATAAATATATAGTTTTTAAAAATTTCTTCAGGAACTAAAATAAGAACTTTCAAAACTTCCTAGTGATGTCAATGTTCTTTTTATCATTTTAGGATGGCTTTAATTCATTTGGCCACTCTAGAGCCATTTACATTTATCTTTTTTTTTTTTTTTCTTTTTTTTAAGCTGAGCCATCCTGCCACCTGTTGGCAGCTCAGTGGCTGCTCAGCTCGGGATGGGACTCGAACTGCTTTTGCTCAGAGCTCAAACTCTTGAGCGAGCTCTTAACCAACTGAGCCACTCGGCCGGCCCCATTTATCTTTGAAAGACAGAAAATGTGATACAATGGGTTGAAAAATTGAGGTGTTAAATTAATAAAACGGTTTTTCTTTCAGTGACTTGAGACTTACTCTTAAGATGATTTCAAAACAACATCCGTGGCATCAACACTAGAATACATTAACTTTGGGTATATTAATTGTTTGAATAGATGGGGCAGATTAAATGAACTCTAAAGCCAGGTCAAGCAGTCCATGATTTTAGGCAAATAAATACAGAATTCCCTATAACCTTTTTTGAGAGAGGATGATCATTTGGATAAAGTTCTAATCAGTTGTGATAAAATAAGTCTCATTTCATAGTCATACTTCCAGAACTACATCACAAGGTTTCTCATTTACTTCTTGCTGTTATAGAGATAATCATCTTTACACTTTTACTTAGCGAATTTTTGGCAAAGGAAAATAATAACATTAGTTATACACAATTTTTATAATAAAAGTTCAGAAGCATAAAGGAACATGAAATCAATCATTGTCTTTTTATTGAGGGAAAATTTTTATAATTACTATAATTATTTCAAAATAATAAGATGCCAAGAGGTAAGAAAATTATACGTGCAAGAAATTAACTGATGGTGTTGACACAATTCCCTACAGCCTCCTGTAACTCTGTGAACCAAACAAGCATACCATGAAGCATACCTACTGTCTGATGGGCTGTGTCCATTCAGTGCAATTAGTCCCACTAATATGGAGCTTGTGAAGCTATGTATTTACCAATGTTGCAAACAGAGTAACTCTTTTAAAAGTGCTATATGAAAAATGGTTTTCATCCATTACACGCCTTATTCTGAAAGTAAATATTAGTCAAAGCTGCCTCAGGTCATAAAATAATAACTACCCAACTGATTCTTTTTATAAAATCAGAACACGATTAATACATGCACATTTCTCATTCAGAAGAGGTGAGAAAGGAACAGGCCAATCCAACCAACACAAGTTTTCTTTGATATACACACTCATCTTCATGCTTCTAGGAAGTATCTAAATTCTAACATTTCACGAAATCAGAAATTACCAATTGACTCTTAAATACAAAGTTGAAATATATAAATTAGCAGATAATTTTTGTTTTTAATTCTTTGTTTGATAGCAGAGCACTTCCAAATTGCAACCAAAATAAATCAATAAATAAAATAAACCAGAATGTTTTTTTAAAAGTCTTCAGCAACCTCTTTCTTTAGTTTGAAATGAACGATTTGCAGCTCTTCCCGAACTCTTGCGTCATAGCACTTTCTCTAAAGACAAGAGATAGAATTTCCTTTAATGGCCCTTATTTTTCTGAAATCAGGAAGGCCCCTGAATGAGAGCAATTTGAGATATAACAAATTACACAGCAGTTAGAGAGGCAGCAGACCTAAATATTGTTTGGCTCATTCATCCTTAAGACTGATGGAGATGGGTCAACCTCCACCCAGCTGAATAACACAGGCTAATTATTTTGAAGCCTGTGGAACAAACACAACTAACTGCCATCCTGGGATTACACAAATCTGAGATGTAACACAATATGTTTCTACTAATTCATTTTAATACTTGCTTTCTCTCTCCCACAGAACTCAAATGTACTGGATTTGTTTTGATTAGCAAACTGGATCAAGAAAAATAAATCTGTTGTTTTGGTTTAGATTAGATAATTATTTTTTATGTTTATTAGCTTTAAACAAAGTTAAAGGTTGTTGAAAGATTAAGAGAACAGACATTGGCCTGGATTGTTGCTTTATTTTATTAATGTGTTTGGGGCCATTTTGGAGTTTAGCACATTTGTACATAATATTGACATTTTCATTTTTGTTTAAATTTGTTCAAAACTGTTTAAAGCAATGTCTTTCCAACTGAACACATGACATGAAGTCCTGAATCAGGGTTTATGCAATGATATTGATTTAAGTTCTGGGATTCTCTGTACCCCCCTCAAACCATCTGGCGATTTCAAACTTCATGTAGGAAAAGTGAGTACAAACACTGAGGAAAAACACATATCCTAATTAAGTCTATCATTTTGGCTATTAAGATGAAATTATATATACTCTCCGGGGTCTTCTAGTCACCTTAGGAAGGCAAGAAAAATTGCTAATTTGAAATGAAATCATTTCAAAATTACTGTACCCCCTGGCTATTCTGCTAGAATATAGTAAAGACCTTTTTCCTTTGTCAGTACCTTAGTTTCTCCCCCCAAAACACCTGCCACATCCTTTTCAGTAGTTTTTTCTTCCCTATGATGAAATCCCATAAGTTATTTTTCTCAGGGGATTGTTAAACTCATTAAAAACAGTTGGCCTGGTTTTACCTCATTCTTTTATTTCATGTATATGAGAACTGGGCAAAAGTCGTGATCGGAGAAGCACAGATCTGTTTTTTGGATGATGGGGCTGGCAAACAAAAAAGGAAGAGATGGTAAAATGAAAATTGCTTTACTTCTTACACTCTGGCTAGGAAATAAATCGACTACAAACAATATCGGGTATTTCAGTGACCAAGGAGACAGTCTTGAAATACAAGGTGGAATGTAAAAGGTGGGGGCAGCTCTCTGCTTGAGAGGGAAGATAAGGTGGGCAGCTTTCTGTCTGTCTGTCCCCCCATTCTCACACGAAACACCCAGAACCTCTGTCCCCACCACCCAGTAGTTGGAGATACTACACTTTTAGTCACGGCTTCTAAGGAACTTGCATCTCTTGGTGCCATGTTGTGAAAGTAAACATGGGAGGACAGAATCAGTGGGTAGGCCCCATTTCACTGAAAAGGCTATAATGCGAGTGGACTCCGGTGTTAGCTATGTGATTCTGTTCATGGAGCCAGCCTGAATCTTTATGCTGTCGGATAAGGCTAGTACCCAAGCAATTCTTACATTTCAACCAAGCAAAGGGTCCCATAGAGTTTTTAGTGATAGTATTTTTGGAGAATGCAGGGAAAGAAGATTTCTATTAAGCTTAACTCAAAAAGTAGGAATTTTAAGTCAATAACTTGAATGCTTAGCACAGTTCTATATTTAAAGATATCACATCAAACTTTTATAAGTCTGGAAAACAAATCAGAAACAAGGGGAAAAGGAAAATCACTTTTAGTGAAAAGCACTGAGTGAATGCAAGGGAGAGGAGAATCTTTTCTTCCCTAACCCTATACTTCTTGTTGGTAACCTGTCCCCATTCCTAGGTCCCAGCAAGCATTCTAAATACCAAGAAAAGTTTGACCAGTGATTGGGTTCCTAGGCACTGAAGCTAATGCTAACTTAAAAAAGCTCTAGAAATAAAAATTGGCTAAGGCAATGAGTTTCCCAATCTAATTTAACCAAAATCGAATTGGACAATTTATCAGAAATGGAGAGACATGCTATCCAGGATTTATTATTAGGAAGTAGGAGTCTTCTACTTTTAAATTCTTAAATGTTTGATATCATCAGCAAAATGGAAGCTTAAGCTTAACAACAACATTCTTGTCATCAAGTTATTTGCAATGGTTTACAAAATGAAATTGGTCAACTATTTATAATTAGTCATATTTATTATCACCAGTAATGAAAGGGCATAATATAAAAATGTGCACTAAAAAGGAACAGGGCAAGCCAACTTGTCTCAATACACTTTCCTAAGCCTTCCATACACTGATAACCAGTCAAACTCACTGCATCTTTACTGCTTTAAAAATGCCAGGTTGGGTTTTGGTGAATCTCACTTTTCAACTCAAAGATCATATTCATTATTTAAACTATGCTGAATGATATTTTCCATTTGATTTCTATATTCTCAGATCAGACATGTATTGATTAAGGATTTCTCCTTGCCTCTCCTTTACACTGAGTGTTTACATCAGTCATAGCCCCCTAAAATAACAGATTAAAACCAGTCCAACTGGTTAGTAAAACTGCTAAAATATATATATCAGGAGAAGATGAAAAGCAAGCTGTTCACTGATGCATTTAGCAGAACATGAAAAAGACTTACACACCTACCTGGAAATGAAGAAAGGAAGAAAGTGGCCACCAGGAGAAGCCCCTGCAATATCCTGGGTGATTCTAGGAGCATGGTCTGCCTGTCTCACCCAAACAGACGTGCGCTGCTTGGTCTGTGGCTGCCTCCTCTCAAGTGAGAACAGAATGAAACTCCCAGGTTCATTCTTGTCTCTGCTTCAGGAAGTGTTTACTGAAGAAGGTGTTGCACAACCTCAAAGCTGTGGCCCTGCAACAATGGCACAGCAGGCGGAAGTTCTGGCTGTCTCCTGGCTTTAAGATTCCTTTTTCCTTCTCCCCAACATTCCCCACTCAAAAGCAGTGCATTTCCAATATATTACTATAGCCCAATAAGCTACAGTGAGATAACAACTTTGACGTATCTTGATAAATGTGTGTATTTATTATGATCTGGATGCAGGTAAGACCATTCCTGTTTCAAACCCATGTTCCAAAGTTCCTATATATCATCATTTATGAAATATTGGGAAAGCCCCTTCCCTTTAATACATGCCTGATACCATTTGAAGTGCATGGTATACAGTGTCACTAAATCTTCTAAAAACACTTTCAATGTAGGTCTTCACATCCCCAAGTTACATATGAGGAAATTGAAGCCCAGGTATCTGAGGGAGCTATCCTAGGCACTGCAGCATTGTGTAGCCTATGAAAGATTATTCTGTGGTTGCATTCACCAGCAAGATTTGCCCAGATCCTAGCTCCATCAGGGAGCACAGTTCACTAGGAAATGATGGTCAGAAAGAAAAAATCCTTCAGGGATGCTGGCTGGGGAGAGACTGATAGTGAAAGGATCCTACAACACCAAGGAAGGGGCAGATAATGAGAATTAATGTATCAGGGAGGATCTGGTCTTTCTATTGGTATTGCCTTTTTGTCGGTGATTTGGGAGGCGTTTTTTTGGAATTGAGAACCTGTAGCACAGTATGATATCCTCTGCTCCTGTTTTTCTTCTTGGTGAGCACCTCAAAAAAGAAACAACAGGAAAAACAGACACAGATAAATGGGGAGGGGAGATATTCAAAGATTAAAACACCTTACCTTTACGGTAGATGGCCCCTCCTTTATAAGTGTAGGTGGACCTAAAACCTAGGAGTGGGAGGATGGGAAAGAAAGACCCACCTATGGGCAGTTTCCTAAGACTCATACATTGGGTCTGATCAAATAAATATAATTATCCTGCTGTGTTCTCTGGATATTTATTGCATTCAAGGGCTTCAAAATATCTTCAAAAATAATTACTTAGAACCATTAAATTATATGAATTAGAGGTCATGTCTTGAACTCTGCCCAAGAGTTCTATTACTAAAGCACCAAGAAGACCTCGTTGTGACTCTGTTTCACACACCAGGATCATAATAGCTCTACGCCCAGGTACTGTATTCACTAGGGGCAGAAGAGGAATAGCACACATGGAAGATGGTATCTTTCTGCAAAAGAACTTCACAACAATCTGCTTTCAGCCCCGAATTCTCACTATTCTTTCTCTTCCCATTTTGATTATTTCAAAGAATGGATGTCATGCAGGAAGAAGAGGAAATGGCATTAGTGCTGAAGGCTGGGAATGGGAGGAAAGGATGATTCGCTCACCACCTACTAGGTCCCACACAGGCCAAGGGGACACAAGGTCCTCTTAAGGGGAAAAGGGGAAGGATACAATATTTACTGGGTGATCAGAATGTGCCAATTGATTTATATTATCATGTATCACTTTTCACCAAAACTCTTAGAAGGAAGTATTAAAATCAAACACAATAGATCGAATACATCTTTTCTGAGCATGTGTGGCAAATCTTGGGATTATTGGATATAGGATCTTCGATATGTTTTTATTTAAGTAAAACATTTCTAAACAGCCCCGCTCTTCCGGTTACTCCCAGAATGGACAGAGAGGTACCACTCCTTAAATCTTAAGAGGGACAGGGTCATTGAGAACTGAGGCACTACCTGTACCCAGAAATGAAGTGCAGAGTTGGCGTGGAGTCAATGTTTCTAGTGATGCTATTAAGGGATGTGTTGTGGGGTTTAAGAAACTCAGGTTTGAACAGGGATGAACATACTCCTTCTCTCTGGTCTCTACACTTGTATACACATTGAAAATGTATCTGATCACATCTCTACCACTACTTAGGGTAGCAGACAAACAAAAGTGCAAACTTAGAGTTTGAAAGTAACCTATAAGGGAAGAAGTCGGGTCATTGTCAAACTCAAAATTTTTAAATATCTTCTTATATTTTAAATAAATAATTCAACCACTGAGAATCATCTAAGAAAATGAATCTGAAATATAAAATGAGTTTTATGCATCAAAATGTTAATTATGTGATTTATAAAAGATAAAACTAAAATTAAATATCCAAAATTAAGAAGGTGGATTTGTAAGCTACTACAATACATGCCTATTCAATTGGCTTGAATATTAAGCCAATATTTAAAATTACCTCTACAATGAGGTTCAATAGTATGAGAGATCTTTGCATCATAATACTAGGACACAAATAAAGTTATATGCAAAATCATCCAAATTAAATAAAAATTTCAAAAACCTATTTAGAGTAAAAACCAACAACAAATTCCAAAATATTTAGGGAGAATTCTTTTGTGTGTTGTGCTGAGATGTGTTTTTACACCTTTTCTTTCTATAGTTCTTAACTTTTAAGTAGCATTACTTTTATAATTTAAAAATGATGTAAAATAAACACAAAAATATCTAAATCGTTTCCAAAATCATTGATTGGCCTCCCTTCCCCTAAACTGAGCTCTCCTTTAGATTATGTATTAGTCATCATCATCATTGTATCCCCAAGACTCCAACACGGTGTTCAGGAAATAGTAGCTACTAAACATGTTTGCATACTTAATTAATGATTGAAGAAGGATCACTTAAAAAAACAAGCAGAGCTCTGAACCACAAGGCATGAGCAGCTGAGAGAAAAGGAGGTAAAAGAGCTGTTGTTCTTTTAAAGCCAAAACCAATTTATAGCCTTAGGGTGTCGTATTCTACCTTCCCGTGTTCCCACCTGTGGGGAGCAGATAGTGTGACACAAAGGAAGGAAAGCTATTTGCTTTTAAGCTTAGTAAATATATTTTTACACGAGAAAACAAAGAGATTTTGTTACTATCTTTCAGGTACTATATTTATATAAGAGTTTACTTTCTGGCTTATGTGTTAATATCCGCTGATAATCCCTCTGCCCCTGAATGACTAGTTATGTGCTTAGGATATGCTATCGTCCATTAGGTTCTTTGTGACATGAAGTGGCCTTCCCTTTCATTGTACAACATCTAAATTTAAAAACAGTCGGTAATCAGCAGAAGTTTATTGGGTCCAATCAAACTGATTCCGCATTTGCATAATCTGATGTGCTTAACTAGCAGACAAGGGCTGGCACTGGTTCCTACTTTTTCTGTACTTCATTATTGACCTACATTCTCCCCCACTCTCCTTCTGGTATAAGAATTAAAATCAAGACTCAGTAGTATGTGTGCTTTTATACCTGGAGAAAACCGAGAGGGCCTGCATTGGCCTAACCACAAGCTTCTCTCCCTATTCTGCTCCCATGGATGAGGTCCCCTAGTCAGACCTCTCTTCTCATCATACACCTTTAGTACCTAGAACTGTGCATGTTTCAGAGTAAATGCCCAATAAATATTTGTTAATATTTCTAAAGTGAATAAATTCAAATTAAATTTTTATAACAAGAATTTTTTTTATTTATTAACATAGAATCTGATATATATTTTTAACTTTATAAAAGTCTTAGTACTCCACTTGAGCCCACATAGCACACTATTGGCAGGAAACCCATTATATTCCTCCTTATACACACTTCCACTCCAAAATCATTCAACAACTCATACAGATGGATAGAGTTGAATGTCGTGTCCTTTCAAGATCTTAAGCAGAGAGTGAGAACTGAATTCTGATTGGTTTGTTATAGCAACTGTTTTGTCACTGGATAGAAACTGGCCTGTAATATAGAAGTATTTTTACCAGCTCTAGAACTTTCCTAGATAGAGATGGACACTAAGGTTCTTAGTTCACATTGACTTGGTTCGCTATTTTTCACATTGGCTTGTTCATGCCAGGGTAGCTAGATCTAAGGAGGTAATAGCTATGTACTGCTTCAAACCTACTCTTCTCTGTCAAACTCAAGCCCTTGTCTAAAGCCCAGTTCTCCACTTGAATTCCCTTTTCCCACATGTTATTTGATTTCTGCCTTTGGTCATCATGCTCTGAAGTATTCTCTGAATTGCCTCACACAATTGTGGAAGTTGGCAAGTCTGAAATCTGCAGGGTTGGTCAGCAGGCTGGAAACCCAGAAGAGTAGATGTTGCAGCTCAAGTCTGAGGGCCATTTACTGGCAGAATGCCCTCTTTCTCAGGGAAGGTTGTTCTTTTTTCTATTAAGGACTTCAAATAATTGGAAGAGGCCCACATCGTTATTAACCCCAACAAAGAGGTTGCTGAATGATCAGGGATCTGAGCTACAGAATAACTAGTTCTATAGGTGGGAAGAATCCATAGTGGGCCTTCTAGCCAAACTCACTAATTTTCCTAAAAGAAAGCTGAGGTCAGTGAGGCTAAGTTATTAAAAAAAAAAAAATTTCACTATCGGTTAATGCCAATGTAGGAAATAAACTCAGTTTATATGTGTCTCTCAGTCATGTGCCTTTTCCCCCTCTTTGGTGCAAACCACTTCCCCAGTTATAGCATTTCTCATTTGTAAGTTTAGGCAGAAGTAGACCAGGGCCAGGGCAAGAAATGTGTCAGTGTAGGCTGAGAGAAGTGGGCCTCCCCCAACAGTGCGATAAATCAAGGCTTTGGGAGCCTTGTGGTTGCAGGTAAAGCTAATGTAAAAACAAAGAAAGAAACAAAACACTATACAATTGAAAAGCTCATCTTACAAAACAAATTTCTCCAAAGCCATCTGTTCTTACTATTTCTGGATGAGAAAGAGGAATAGAGTTTGTCATGTTTGCATACAGAGGATGTGGTTTGCACGAGATTACAAAATGACTCATGATTAATTTATATTTCTCTATATCACTTCCCCTTAAAGCTTGATCTCAGAGTGAATTGTATATTGCTCACCGTCTTCTCCAGAA